TCATCAGTGTTACCCAGAACCATGCAGACGTCGCTCAGCGACGCTGCTAATTCTGGAACATTGGATCGGTGCCTGCCATATTCAAGGAACTATAAAACAGTCATAATGTGTGTGCAGCACCCTATCGTCTCAAGTCTATTTTTTTACACCGACAACAGTGCAGCCTCAGATTTATTACGGCCAAAATATGACATTCGCTTTGTGAAGTGTATATAGCACCAATAGCTGCGTGTTCAGCAGAGAAAGCTGCTTTGCAACTGTTGCAAAATTCGCGAGTCTAATTGTGTTCTCAATCTTGGATGAACCTAAGAGCATGTACCAATCGGATTCGCGACTTTTACAACAGTTGCGAAGCAACTCTCTCTGCTGAACGCAGTCAACGAGTTCTTGTCGCATTTTATAGATTTAACAAATCCAGATTGCACCGTGTGTCCCAAAAAATACGACTGTTCACAAAGGGTCAAAGTGCAAACCGATTTTTTTTCTCCATGAGGGACTTTAGAAGGGAAGTTCTGATCTTTCCAAGGAAAGATTGCCGCCTCCACAAGGTCAGGGAAGGCGTGCCGCCACTCACTCTACCTCTCTCTTTTTCTTTTCCCCTGTCTTGGATACCCGGAGTCGGCGACAACACGGGGTTAATCGCGGAGGCAGCGCACACGTGACGCACCGCTTACTCGCACGCGCCGCTACTGTCATTACGCGAAAGCGGCGTGCACGCACGGCCTTATTCGTACCGCGACGAGGACAGTGTGTGCCTCCGAACGTGCGGGTTGTTCGCTCCGTCTGCAGCACTTCGACGACGCGATGGTGTGTACGTAAAAGCATGTCGGTAAATACGGGACGGTGCACAACCGTAAAGCGAGTCCGAGGGGGAGGCGCTCTCTCGCCCTCTCTCTTTCTTTCTCCCTCTTCCTCCCGCTTCCAGCCACGTTCGAATGCGTGCATGCAGGTGAATGCGAACCAAACGCCGGCTACCTCGTGGTGGTGACAGCTACGCGTCGGAAAACGCGCGACCATTACGAGCTTCGATAGTTTCGCCCCGCAACTCCACTCGAAGTGCACACCACTCATCCACTCTTCCACGTACATATACATACGCGTGTATGTCACACAGCGCATGAGTGTACGCGAGGGGCGGTGGGGAAGAAATAACGCTGTTTGATTTTGCGAGCGGCCTCCGTCGGCCGTGCGTTCTCGTGGAGTGACAGTATGTAGTCGGCGAACTCGTACATATATAATGTTTTGTCGGGACACGGTATCGATTATCGAGGCCGATAAGCGTATGCAAATTTCAGCGCGACGACGCGCGACGAGCCGTGCGCGAGAGCAGGAATATGCCGTCTCGCGCTCGTAATTACACACTTACGAGCGGCGTTACGAGGCTTTGTCGTCGTCGTTATCGTCGCGATCGTCATCACGCGGAGATTCCGTTTAGCAGCAGCTCTCGCGGGGTTTTTACGCGGAGCCTCCGCGATTATTCGCGTGCTTCGTTCGATGCCTGTTAAAGCGCGCGATAACGAGATGATAACGGACACGTTGGCACCGTTATCTTCTCGGGCTCGGATAAGCCTTCAACCTTGCCTCATGCCGACACTCATGCCCGAGTCACTCATTCACTCACTCACTCACTCACTCACTCGCTCATGCAGGCAAACACGAGAAACCGCAGGGATGAGTGCGGTTGCTGCACGCAGCCCCAAAATAGACACGTTGAAATTGGATATTAATAACATGCATGGAAATAGAGAGGTCCAGCGAGATACATCGTTCTGCAGCCATGCAGTCCGGGAGAATATTGTGATTAATTGTGATCACGATTGAATCGTCCCGCGATTCGAGTATGACTAATGCTTTCAACGCGATACTCCTTGCTCATCACGCGCATACATTTATCTTGCCCGTCGGCGCAGCTCGGGATGGAACGCCTAAATTATTCTAATGCGCTCTGCTCTAACCGCGAACAGCACCGCTAACTCTGGCTCTGAAGGTCCTCCCGCGTCGATCGCAAACCGATAGGCGAGAGCAGACGCAATGCGCCGGATAGGCAAGTGTGCGTAAACTTGTCAAACCCAGTTTACACGATCATGTACATTCACCTTGGATCTTTCTCTAATTTTTTTAGATCGGCAAAGTAATGATCCCATCAATGTGTCGATTTATTATAGATAGAATTGTAAATTCGCCCCAAACTGCGAAACATCGTGATTGCCCGCTGAAGGAACCAACACGGCGATCATGTGCAGAGCAGAATCGTTGACGCTCGAGACTGTGTAAAGTTCCTCGCAAAAAGCTTTTTTTTCTAATACGACCCGAGGGGATGTATTACGATCTTAAACTATTGTTTAAATAAATAATATTCGCGAAAAAAAAGTAGGCGAATTTTATTTTCTTAATCTTTTATCTGTTATCTCAAAGCGTTGGCGCTTGTATGTTTGTATGTTATCATGGTTATAAAATTTGTTGAGCTCTGGAGTTCGATAAATGGAAGCATACGTGCAAACATGAAGGTATATAATCAAGTATATTGAGAAACTACGGTGAATTTTATTCAGGTCACAAAACTCTTCGTCAAAAGCGTGTTTTCAGACTATTTTATGAAGAAACAAACAACTTTACTCGAACAAGATAATCGATGTCTGGGCCTTGAAGAATTAGATTTGGTTCCACACAACTTGCTTTAACTGCAGTTCAACTCGTTAAAGGCCTATCCAGACAAACTTACACGATCACATACTGCATATGCATAAGGAAATCAACCAGTCATGATTCCTCTGCAGTAAAAGAAAGCCCCTTATATTAGACATATTTTGCATTAGATTAGTCTAATTTCCTTGTGCATATGAATAATTGCGACTATGCAAGTTCGTCTGGATAAATCTTTAACGAGTTCAACTGTGATTAAGTTGTCAAACTAGGCCTTACTCGATTAAAATTTTCCTCGACTGAAATAATCGGCGAAACAATAATCAAACTTAATCAATCGTCATATATATAATGACAAATAATTTGTGAAATTGATAAAATTAATTATTAATCAGTGTGTAATCTATCACATCAAATCTAATATTAATAATTATGTATTAATAATTATTAATCAATAAAAATAATAGTGATTCTCTACATGATAATTGGTCAATTTTGATTAGTTTACCGATTATTTGCGTGAAAAAAAATTTTTATCAAAAATAAGAATCAATAAATTCACGTACGACTCACGTGATAAAAATATGAAAAAATTATCAAAATTCATTCGAAATAACGTTATACAAAATGTAATATGAAAATTTGAGTGTATTTACTTTTAGTAAATTTGTTATCACATGTCGACAAATTTACGCTATTATATGATATAAATTTAATGATTCATTTAACATAGTGTGTCATATTATCTTATAAATATAATTTAAAAAATTGCAGACAGTTTCTATCATCGATTATCTCATGTCGTGGCAATCATGAAAGTCTATCTGAAACTCGTCGCGATAGCAATCAGCAGTCTATAGTAACATTGTGTACATTGTCAAGGGATACCGATACGTACTGATACATACATCACCACTAAAAAATTTGGAGCACTTTATCATTTCTCTGCCATATGTTTACTAAAACAATTATATTTGTTAAAACAATGTAGTTTCATCGCTAAATTACAGAGTTCCAACTCTTTAGGTGGCAGTGTATGTCTATGTTTGTATTATGTAATATATTGTTTGTATATTGCATATGTCTATGTCTATATTAAATTTTTCTTCCCTTAATTCAAGCACAGTTAATTGGAAATATAACGAACATTACCTTGAATATTCATCATAGGAAGAAGAGAAATCTCTTCACATAACTGACAGACGAAACTCAAATGTTAAATTGGCTTCTCCAATTTCACAAACTATTTTTTTCAATTTTCTCTTTCAATTTCAACAATTAAATAAGTTATTTTCTCTATGAATAAATTTACCCCCGAAGGGATCAATAAACATTGCGGAGGAAATTGAAACAAGAATAAATAAGAGAAAGATACTTGGCTCCAAAGTCTGGCGTTTCGTGTCGTCAGTTGAAAACAAGCGCATCACTGAGCCGCAGCGGACACGGTATTTCTCGACGCGGATCTGTTTACGAAAAGACCGAGTGGTTGGTGAAGGGCGGAAAGAAAATTAATCGCGCATTTTTCGCACAAAGCTCGAGGGAGGAAATGGAGGACGAACGTTCCTCCCTTAAACGTTCGACGTCAAAGGTTATAAACGCGTACCCCGGAAGGAGACATGCTGCAGAACGTTATCTCCGCTTATCTCCGCTCCCACGCACAGTATCGATCCATCTGAACGAAACACACACACACACACAAGAACGTACACAATCGTACACACACATATAACGTGCAACCGCTGTTGGTTTTGTCTCGAGGTTCAGCTCGATTGCGCTCCGAATGTGCTTTCGGCGCGGTACCAACCTTGAAAGAGATGCGACAGGGTGGTACCTTTGAAACACGTGCAGCCCATAATAAATCCCATCATCGGTGCGGCCGTCGCCCAGGAGCCGGCCTGCCCTCAGCTCGAGCGGCGCGGAGAAGAGCGCAGCGCGACCGATCGAGGCCTGAGGATCGCCCTGGTCCACGACGTCCACGACGACGGCGGTGACGGAGGCGGCGGCGGCGACGGCGACGACGACGGCGGCGGCGTTCTCCACGATCGGCGGGCCTCCCGGGGGCCGCGGCGGACGCTCGAGATCGCGAAGAGACCGGAAGTGTCCAGCCGGCGGCACATCGCGCACTAACCACGACCTCTCGCTCGCTTCTTCAGGCGCGGCCGCGACGCGACGGGACGCGCCGCGATGCGGTGCGGTGCGGTGCGGCGCGGATCGCGCGACCAACGGCGAGGAGGACGACGTGCGCTCGCCGACGTGGTTAACGGTTCGCCGACGAAGGCACGTGCGAGCGAGCGTCACGTGGCGCTGGATCGGCCGCGGGAAGCACGCGTCGATTGTCGCCGCGGGTCGTTCGGGCCGGCATGACGACGGACGGAGTTTTTACGGAGACACAGTGTCGTCGTCTCGACACAGACTCGACACAGACTCGCGGTTGCTTCTCTGGGATCACGACGATCAGTTTTCAGCCGAGGTTGCCCGCGGTCGGTCGGTCGGCCACGCTGGGAGAGGTGGAAGCAGGCTTGTGCCGTAGATTTCAGGATCACGTCCACGCGGATTGTTTACGTATGGTCTGCGTGATGAGGTAAAGCTACCAATTCCCGGACATATACCCAATCCTGAAGATTGTTTTGGTGCTTAAACGCGGCCATTTAAATTTTCTACGTAGAATATATATATATATATATATATATATATATATATATATATATATATATATATATATATATAT